TGTTGAAACTGTTTTCTCAATTTATAATATCCACGTTTTTCCCCAGAAATGTAATAACTTATATTTTTTGACCGCCTCCACACGAAAAATGAGTAAAAAAAGTTAGTGAATTTTTGAATTTCGCGCGCCGTAACTTCAAATGTACGCAACGGCCATAGATTAGTATGCGGGGAGTGAAATAACACAAACGGTAATAACACAAATTTGCTTTATTTCATTTCTCGTTGAGCAATAAGACCAACTTTTAAACTTAACATTTTGAGTAATAAAGCAAAATTTTGCACATATGTAGGTAGTCACCCAGTTACATTTGACAAAAAGTAGTACATGAACAAGTTTAAATGGACGGATTTGTATGTATACAATTTTGAAAGTGCCCAGCTTCGCAGCGGTCCACGTTCGCGCTCGCGCTATGTCCAATTTTCTGAGCAGTTATTAAAGACGACTCTTTTCCTATATTTTGTTAGACTTTTCATAAGTAAAAATATTTTGTGAATATTAATTTCTTCATATGAATTATGTCACATTTTGAGTATTTCCAACCTTTGTTGGAAATAAAGCAAAACTCAGATTTTGGTATTATTTCCCATTTAAAAGTGAAATAAAGCAAATTTTGCTTTATTGCCGTTTGTGTTGTAGATTACAGCAATATTTAAGGCTAAATACAAAGAGCAACGAAAATTTATAGACTATGATATCGATAACACTGTATTGAAAATCTCAAGTTATGAAATGACATAAAAACCCCCGAAACACTTAAGCTTAATTTTGAGCCGTAGATAACGAGCCTGTATGCTGTTTTTCTAAATCAAGTCAAAATTTAATGGGGGACAAATTAAAAAAATAAATAAATTTTTTTCAATTGTATTAAAGCTTGTTCCACAAAAAAAAATCAAGCTAGTAACAAAGAAAATCGATGTTAAATAAAAAAATTTTAAATTTAAATTTTTTCCCATGTTAAATTTTGATTTTGTTTTCGATTACAATGCAAAATTAAAATGAAAATATTTTGGGAAAATGACCTGACTTGGAAAAACAGTTTACAGATCCGTAATCTACGACCAAAAATCAAGTTTAAAATACAATAAGTAAATACTTGTAATCAACTCCAGCGCCACCTAGCACAGTAGACACCAGTGTAAACATATCTTATCGATTTAAACTCAAATTGGTTCAGTAGTTTTTGAGTCTATAAACGACATAGCAATCGACACATACGGTCTTTTTATATAGTATGTACGTATGTATAATAGATGTATGTTTGCATGTAAATATGTATTTATGTAAAAAGAGGAATAAGGCGCTTTTTGTGCTTCCTTTTTTTTTTACTTATTTATTCTCTGAGGACAATAACGAATACTCCATCAGCGCCGCCTAGAGGATGACAGTTTGTCGTTTATGACCGCAAAGCGAATATTATGACCGACACAAAGGAAATAACAAACAGAAAGCGCAACGATGGCACCATCGCTGAACGCATGGTAAAACATGTGCCAATTTATGGGAGAATACGCAAATGGGGCAGCTGGATGGACAGTTGGACAACCATTGGACAAGCGGATAAGCCGTCAGCCATTATCATCAGGTGCCTTTTAGCTGACTACTCGTTGACAGACAAACGTACCTGCGTGTACATATGGACGTTGTAGTGTCAGAATGAATGTACAGACATACATATGTACATATGTATGGAATACAAAGTGCAAGAAATACAGTGTTGACAGTGCAACCTGTATGTAGCCTTGTGATTATCTTCAGTTTTGCATTGATACTGGTATTGCTACGATTTGTGTTGTTTTTTTTTTTGTTGTTACTGCCAGTTACTGCCAGCGAAATCAACACTGTGCATTGTTAATGTCATCCTGCAATAACCCGATCGGTGTCGGGAAACGCACTAGTGCCGAACTGGTTCTGTATTAGAGAATTTAGAACCATGATTAGTGCGCGTTAATTCTCTTTTGCATGCAAGCAACTGGCGAATTGAACATTGCGATGCCCTAGCAAGTGTCAATAGCCCCCCACTACATCCCCTTTTCGCTAGTTCCGAACTAGTCCTAAATTATATAGTTCCGAAACTGTTCTAAAATTGACAGACGAAAAATGTATTATGATTTTTTTAATCTTCTTGGGTTTTCCATGTGTTCGATTTCAAATTATTTTCAGAGGAGTGTGTTTTCAATCTGAAATTAAATTTCTTTGAATGATTTGTAAGAATTGTACGTTTCCATGCCATCGCCTGTAGCTGAATTTGCGGAGGTGCTTGCAGATGGTCCCAAAATGTTAAATTGTTAACACAAATTTTTGTTTTGTATAAATGAAAAAGCATCTGCGAAGTGCAGAATGAAAGCGTATTTTAACGCAAAAGCCGCCAAACACATTTATATATAAAAGTAAACAAGCACCGCGCTGCATCCGTTATTCTATAGTTCTAAATTCGTCACCATAGATATAGATTTCTAATGAAAAAGTGAAATAAAATAGTTTTTCAAAAGTACCACATTTCGCTGATTTTGAACTGGTGTTGATCTAGTTACTGGTTCGTTTTTGGCTATAAAGATCTAGTACGGAACTAGAAATTTAATTCACTAGTTCGCCGTTTCCCTGCGTCTGTGTCTGTTCCCAATAAACTTTTGGGTTGAATGTCAAGTGGAAATGCAATAAATATTTCAACCGCCACACTCTGAAAAAAGGAGCCTATTTTTGGTACATATGCAAAATAGTCCACTCGAGAAAAGCTTGGATATTAATTTGGATTTAAACTTTATTCGACTTTTCATCAAACCTTTAAAAAAATCTTGGAAAAAAATGTTTTACATTCACTTGAGAATCAAAAATGTCGCAAAGGTTGCAAAAACAAAATTGGAAAAGAGTTTACTTTATTGCACAAATATCACTAATACTAAAGCAATAACATAGTTTGACTACAATAACGCTTATTTATTTAAGTTTAGTGTGTTCTTTTTCGTCACAGTTCTCAGCAAAATCTTTTCTGTTTTTCGTAAGCACTTACTATTTGTATCGATGAAGTAATGCATTACAATTCGCCTCAAGACACAGCTTTTCACTTTCTCGTTTACTCACTGCATTACAGGTAATGCAGTGTGAAAACACTTTTACATTCTCTCGCTTACCTCCAATGACATGCCCAGATTAAAGTAATGTGTTTTGTAAACAAGAAGGTATGTGTTGAATCTCGAAAAGCGCTTCCCAATCGGGTTTCACCAGTGAACAATTTTGTCTGGCGGCGAATTGTAATGCGTTACTCCATCGATACAAAAAGTAAGCGCTTACCAAAGAATCAAAGTTTTTGCTGGATTTGGTTAAGAATCTGTGCTTGTGCGTCTGTATCTGTGTCTAACATGTTGAAAGCATTTCTCCACGACATTTCCATACATTTGACAGCTTTTCCATTCATGTTGAGCGCAATTGATGGCTTCAAAGCATCGCACCGCTGTTTTTATTTTTTCATCCCAGTTTCTACATACCTTTTTTCGTGCGTTTTTCTATAATATACTGCTGCATCCTGTTAGTGTTGCTTTATCGCATCGTTTTTTTTTTGTGTTAGGAATTTCAAAGCAGCATCAATCCTGTGTTCATTTATGCCAGTTTGAGAGTGGAAAAATGCAATGGGAAAACTGTGTTGCGTGTGCGCTCGTTAAAAGGCATGGGTATAGATGTACACTCACGCAGGTAACTTATGCGAATCCTGCAGTGACAGCTTATACATTTAGTCTAGGTTACTGTATTTGTTTTCTAGCTGAAATAGTTCGCCTGTGATTTGAGCAACTAGTGTTTTTAACCAAATGGCAGTTTGTCAATTGACATACTATTTATTTACTTTTTTTTATCAATTAATTGTTGATAAGCATCACCAGTTAAAACAAATGGCAAAAAAAATGGAAAGCGTAGAATGCGAGCGTGGCATTCGAGAAGAGTTTGTTCGTTTTTAACTGTAAAATTTTATCGCCAAGCTAGAAGGAATGATCGCAAGCGTCTATAGTTTTTATTAATTCAACATTTGGGATGCCTTATAAGACTTAACTCAAGAGTTCTTTAATGTGGTGACTAAATGGTCAGCTAAATCTTTCTCCACGCGCATCCCACCAAGGGGGCAGCGGTTGGGAGGAGGTACCGTTCAACTTCTACATGGATGGGTCGTAATTTTAGGCTCCCAGATCACTGCCGTGTTTTTCAGGCGGAGGTTGCTGCTATTAAAGAAGCAGTGGATTTGCTGCTACAGTGTGCGATTAGGGAAAGGAGGTAAACATATACTCAAAAAGCCGGGCGGCAAAGAGACCTTCAGCTCCCTTCTAGTACGCTCGAAGCTTGTGAGGCAAATCACAAATCCTCTTCGGTCGGAATATTATCTTGTCAAACTTGTTGAAGTGCCGGGCCATAGTGATATCGCAGGAAAGTGTGTGGCTGATGAACTGGCACCCCCGAACCAGTATGACTAAAAAAAGAGAGGGTGCGCAGTGACTTCTTGCGGACTTCTCTTGAAAAGGTGGGCCCTGCGTCAACTCGGCGAACGATAAGCCAGTGCATGCGTCACTGCTAGGTCGCTCTAGCCGAGTGTGGACCGCGGCGGTCTAGGTATCTCATTAGGCTTGGGAAACCACATCTTTCAACACTGGTGGGTGTACTGACAGGTCACTGCCCGAATGGGGTTCACACAGTGAGATTGACCTGACCAAACCTGACCCCCTTTTTCGCAGCTGCAAGGGGACAATGGGGTGGAATCTTTCCCAGTTAACTACCGCTTTTCAGTACAAAAACTGAAAGTTAACTGCCGAATTTGAGTTAACCCTGTTAACTGTAAAAACGCACTTAGACTGTTAAGCTTTTTTTTTTTTGGATTGTAATCTGTCCAACACTTCCTCTTAGACAGTCTAGCTTTTGTTGGATCGCGGCTTAGGCACCTAACCTCTGCTGCCTGCGAAACTTTGTCCTCCTCGGCACGAACCGAAGTAGTGGTATCACAAAGAACTAATACTCACCGTCTAGTTCTCAATTTCAAAGGCCTTTGAAATGCTATTGTGTAAATACAGTTACATACATATGCACACATCGTTTATAACTTTGTCATGGATGGATTACTGAAAAGGAAAATTTCTAAGAAAAAAGTGGTGTGAGCTTTTGTAAGTAATGCTGATATCGACCTGTAAGTAGGCGCATGTGTATTACATATGTATACTATATAAACAAATAGCAACTGTACATAATCCTGCAGTTATATCAAATTATCGCATAAATAAATAAAACATTCAATCATTAATGTCGATATATTCATTCGTGCACATAAAAAACATATGTACATATGTATGCATGTTCATACATACGCATTTACAGATGTACATCCTTCCTTTTGGTATTAATTTCACTTACCGCTTCCGCCAAGTGCCCAACGAATCCAATTTCCTTTGACGAAATGCCGCCTTGCGCTGCATACCAATGGACGAGCGTCGGAAGCGGCGAAGCAGTGGCGCACCGCTGGTTGTCGAATCGACTGTGTGGCTCGATTCAGTTTCACTGCCACCATCTGCCTCCCTACAGCTGCCATTCGCATCATTTCCGCCATCCTCATTGCTGTCGTCATCGTCGTCGTCGTCGTCGTCGTCGTCTTCCGATTCGGTTTCCTCCCGCACGGCTAGCAGCAATTGCTCCACGGACATTGTATCGCTGTGGCTGCTTTCGCTATCGCATTCACAATTCATAAACGAGATAAACATTGTTGAAGGTAGTAGTGGCTCGCTCGCTGCAGGCAGCAGTGCACAGGCTGCCCTGGATATATGGATTCTTGGTTAAGTTGGTGAATAGTTCGCAAATTAATGTTGTTGTTAGCGACCTTATCGTGTGGATAAGGCAAAACAATTTGCAACTGAAAATTTTTGATGTTTACGTTTCTTTTTCCTTTTGTTTATCTTTTCGCATTTCAAAGCAGTTTTCACTTTCTAAATGCTCCACTGAGTTGTTGTTGTCACTTGTTTATTTATCTTTCCTTGTTTTGCTTTTGCATTGGCATTAACCTGTGTTAATGTTTTTATACCCTCATTTATTTATTTTTTTCAGGCAAGTAATTTAAAATTCATTAATTTCTGTGTCGCTTAAACCGACAGTTTCGCGTATTTGATTTCTGCTTCACCTTTTGCAAGGTTGTTTACCTGTTTTTTCCACTCACAATTTATTTATCCACAATTATTATTTACCTCTGATTTGTATCTGAATTTGTTTATTAAAAAAAAAAAACCATAACAATTAGTGCAACAATGTTTTAATGCAAACGAACGACTGTATTTATGTATGTACACTAGGGTGGTCCAAAATAAGTAAAGCACAGTATACGGTAATCCAGATAGCCAAAACAAAAAATGTAAATATGCTTATTTGACATTTTGTTTGAATGTATTGGTTGATATTTTTTTTTCACAGTTGTCGTTTTCGTTAACCCAAATGAAATCAAATTTAAATATTTTCTTATAGTGAAAAATATTTTCAAGTCACATAAAATAAGATAATGAGAAAAACAAAATTCCGAGCAAATCAAGCGTGAAGCGTAAGCGCTTAGGACCGGTGCAGTTCCGAACACAACTTTGAGTGAACAATGGTGGGCTGACTTTGTAAAATGGTCCCATCGATTAGGCGGTAAAACAAGTATTACTTAGCTCAAGGTAGAACTCTCTAATTTTCAAATGCACGAAATTTGTATGTATTTGGTCAGCCGCTTATTCACATTTGAAAGAGGATAATGCATGAATTAATGCAAGTAAAGACGGTTTATGCAGATAAGCAAGCGCGTTGGTTAACCGTATAAAATGTATGTACCTACATATATACACATATACATATATCAAAATATTCAGAATGATGAGATGAATAGGTTCAGCCCTCTCTCTTTGTAAACACGCTAACTCGAACAAAATTTAGATATTTTAACGAAAGTCAGGTGTCAAATATATCAACAAACATTTGTGGGTACTTTTGCATCAGTTGCCTCTATGGGTTAATGACAAAAAAATCCTATACATTCACAATATGTATTCATGTATTAATTTTCAAATAAGCATATAGTCAATGGCTGATGTACTGTATACTGTGAAGTAAAGTAGGAATTTAAATACTCTCACCCCCTAGGATTGTTCTATATCGAAAAAATAGACCCTTATTTTTCATTTGAAATCAAAAAAATATTTAGAGGTCGCTCAAAGCGCTCAAAGTGCTCAAAGTTTTCCTTGTATTTTATATAAAAATTCCGACTTCCTTTTTTTCCACGTATTTTTGGACCACCCTAATTTACACACATATGCGCATATGTGCATATGTACACGTAATACACGTCCATATGTACTTGCGGGTGTGTGATGTAATCAATGTTGCCGTTTTGATCCATTCGGATCCAAACGAATACTTTTCCCAACGAATTTTGTGTGGACACTTTTTTGGTGCTCAGTACAAATTCGGATATCTTTCTAAACAAAAACATATTACATACATATAGATACTTTAGACCGCGTAAAAAAATAAAAACCCTTCAATTTGACTGCCATCGGACTCTGGTTTTAGTATTTTCTATAGTAATGATCCTCTAAACTATAATAATACATTGATTACATGCCATTTAAGTATTATGCATGCTAGATAGTGCAATGCCGATTGTTAAAATTTGACTATAAGATTGAGGTTGTAGATGATATTGAAGTTTTTGGGGAGAATTAGTAAAAATTAGCTCCGCTGCTGCTCTAGAAATGGTAGAAAACATTCAATGTACTCATCAAAATGCGGAAATGCCACGTAACCACATAATACGCTTTTTTCTCTGCAACTTATCGGCTATTTTAAGAATGATAAGTGGATACTTAAAACAAAACTTTTAAGGCTAAATTTTGGATACTTTTTTATTTGGGAGGCTGCGGTAACACTGGATGTAATCAAAGACTGTTCTTAGCGCTATCGCAATCACATGCTAGCAAAGATTTAGAAATGTCACCACGTGGACTTATTTTTTTGTTTGTTTGTTTAAGTAAATAAATGCAAACACTTTAATCGCGCTTCCGTGCCCAACCGATTTACAACCGAATAAAAGTCACTTTATAACCCAATTAAAGAAAAAATTATTATACAAATAGTTTTGAGGTTTTATGTATTAAAAATTACATTACGTCGACTAACTCTTCAATGCCCCCGGGGATGTCAAAAGATGCCCATTAAAAGCGAAATTTTTAGTATTAAGTTTAAAAGGTTGCCCATCGCAGTTTTCTATTTCCTATAAAAATTACTTAGAAAAAAATTGCCTTCATCTTTGGAATTTGTTTTCTCGGCTATAAATTATTGAACTAAAAAATGCTATACATATTTTTATGGGAAATTAGACGCTCTACAATAAACGTCTCATATAATTTCTTGGTTTAACGGTTATTCAAACAAAAAGTGAAAATTTTGCCATTATTACAGTTTTTCTCCTATTTTAGGTAAAATAATTAAAATTATCTTTTTACATCCCCCCGAAGGTATTGAGGGGGTATTGAAGGGGCGGCTATTAATAAAAAAAAGTTTGTCGATTTTTTTGAGTCAGTCTAACATACATACATACATAAGTACATATACATATACTACACATAATAATAATAGATTGGCGTTTACAAAACTTTTTTTTAATTTTTTTTTTATTTTTTATAATATACATGTAGTTAATTTGTAAAATTGTCTGTTGCATTGTAATTATTCAAAATTGACCTCTCCACCAACCCACCCTTTTTCAGCTGCTATGGCTATATGTGTAGTCGTACATAACTAATTACGAAATGCCGCTGGTCATTTACGCTTCATTAGCCGCATTCATAATCGTACTGGAAATGAAGCGTAGGCAAGGTAGGAATTTCGTTGTCGAACAACCTGCCCCTATGACCAGCACGAATTCACGAAAACAAACAATGCGCGCAGTCGAGCAGCAAGCCAAGTGAATTCTGCAGCTGCCCTATCCTCCGTCTGCAGCCGGCCGGTACAGCTTGAAAATTCCGCGGTCATACTGTGTGACTTAAATGCTTGTGTAAACTTAAAGATGTGTACATACATCTATTTATGTAGTTTAAAATAAATACCTGTAGAATGAAACATCACCGTGCAAAATAACTTTCATTTGAAATATATTTGACGGCAGGATTTCTTCTTCGCGGAATCTTTATGGTATTTTTGCGCCCAACAATCTTCTGAACTAAGTTTTAATTAAGGCTTTATACTATATTTTACCATCCCTTATAAAGAAAGTTATCAGAGTCAAACGCAGCTATGAATTCATATGAATATCTGATTTTTTTTTGGGATAGGATATGTGTAAAGCCCCAATTTTTTCGAAAAGCAAATGAGGCGGATTTATAATTTTGCGCTCCGAAGGGAAAATGTGTCTCTCTTTTATGGCAGAAGAAAACTCCGAGGTTTGCCATTTCCTCCCGAAGGACTGCTAAACAATTTTTTTTTTGGATGTTGCTCAGAACAGGAATCTAACCTGGGCCCTACCGTGTGAAAATAGCTCTAACTACTCTGCGACTACGGTTGTTTTTTCGAAAAAATGTTCATATGGGTATGTGTTGCAATATCTATAGGTCACGAAAGGATTGGCCGTGAATGGGTTGATAATTGTCAATCCTTGAATTTTATCGGGTAATCGGCCAAAGGAATTAAAAAACAATTGCATAGGAATAGAATACTTATGTCTGTATGTTTGTATGTAAATGCATACAGAAGGGAATTTTCAGCAGGCAGGTTAAAGCAGACGCGAAAAGAAGGTAGTTTCAATAAACAACTTTTTTAAGGATACTGAGATTTTTTAAGCTTCATAATTTGTTCATGTTGCTAGCAGCGTTACCACATTGTTAATATTTAAAAATAAATTAGGGAATTTCGAGATGGTAATTTCTTTCGCAGTAAATGGGTGTAAATATTTTAGTCTTTTTAGATGAACAGCAAGAACCTGCCTGGAAACCAAACAAGTCTAGTACATGATATACATACATATGTAGTGAAAATATGTACATACAAAGAATGCAATTTTACCTCGATATGCAACGGATAATGGCATATGTATGTAACTTTAGATTTGAATATGGAATTGAAAAAAAAAACGTTTTACAGTCCTTTCCTCTAGAGTCACATTTGAATTGCACAATAAATAAAAAAAAAATCGGACTTTGTTAACTGGTCACCATCAATGTTGAGAAAATATGCACAGATATTTTAGAAGGCTTTCCTTGCTCACTCCGCAAGGGCTTAAGCCGTGGAAATTTTAAACATTTTGTACCGTCTTCCTTGCAGTTACAGTGGTATTTCGTATTTTTGCAGCTTCGAAATGCGCAACTCATTTTTATTTTTATTAATTTAAAAAATAATTTTTTTTTTTTGTTTTGTGGACCAAATTCTTTTGAGCAAAAAATTGTATTATAATTTTCAAACTGGTAGCTTGATTTTGATGAAAATGTCACAATCTCAGCAAAAGTTAAATTGCTAACATGGCTGCTAATGCCATTAAGTGAAACTACCTATAGCCAAAAATATTTATGAAACTTTGCATGTAAGTATGCATGTACGCACATGAATATTTGGTAGCGAAATTGGAAAATAATGCATACAAATTATAAGCCAAAAATATACTCAAATAGCCAGCATTTAACGGTGCGAGACATTAGGGGGGAGCAAGCGACTCCCACCCGCAGCAAACACTTGGCAAAATGGCAAATCGATGT